CCCAGCTGACTCAGGGTGAAGGCAGGTTCACCTGGACAGGTAACCAGTCTATCACAGGGCTACACTTAGAGACAGACAACCAAGCACACTCACATTCAGTTGGGTTTTTAACCTTACGTTCAGTCTGAATTGTATATATAACAAATGTATTACACCACCTGTCTAATTTGTTAAGCACTGGGTGTGTGTGTGTATCTATATATCTATATCTATATATAGATATCTCTATATAGATATATAGATATGTATAGACCATGTATATTTATAGACCATCCAGCATCATGAAGTGCTGTAATGCCACTCAGCTCTCCCCGTTTTACCAGTTTGACCTTTTAATATCCAAATCTGAGCCGACTCACTGGCTTACTAATCAAGCATAACATTCATCACTAAAACTAATTTTTCTGTTTAGGAATGTAGGTAAATAACTATAATTTGACCTCTTAAGAAGAAATGATAATGTGCAAATACTTTTTTCAGTTTTTTTTGTAAAACAGTAAATCTGAAAATTCATGGGAAACAACAGTAATTATATTTTAGCATTCGAAATATAATTTCGGAGAGCTTGTACATATACATACCCAGGTTTCTATACTATTTCCAGTTCATTCAGTTTACCACAGCTGGACTCCAGTCAGGTTCCAGACATATCTGAAGGATTGATGCGACCACAATTTGGAACCACAGCAGGGTCTGAATTCAGTTATTTACCTTTAATAAAGTCACAATACATTCTAACAGCATGTTTTCCTTTCGTTGTTATGGGTTGTTGGATGTAGACTGATGGGAAAAAGGCCATTTGATTCATGCAAAAATCCATCTGCAACACAGTAAAGTGTGCATAGAGTAAAGGAGTCTGAACACTTTCTTATTTTGCTCTCACCAAGACCAGCCAGTGCAGTGGACAGGGAGGCGTTGGTGGCGGTGTGGGCTGGGAAGGCTGAGGCTTCAGCTGTGGATGGGGGTGGAGGGCTGGATGTGACCCTGGGGGTGACCACAGCAGGAGAGCCTGGACCCAGGTCTATCAGATTGTCTTCTGTGGCTTCACTTAACATCTGGAACAGGATAGACAACTGAGGTTAACAACAAATACAAGGACTATGCAGTGCTTTGAGTTCAGCTAGCAAATAAAGATGAGGGAATAATATAACTTTGTTGGGGATGTTCGAGTGTATAAAGGAACACTTTGCAGCTACAGAAATCTACAGGATTGACTAAGCAATTTAAGAAAACCTTGTGGGTTGTGGATTGGAGGCTCTGCAAAGGAACAGTATCGGGGGTCGAATAAACTGTTGCATGAGGCTACACACGTGAGGAAAAAGGTCATTTACAGGGAAAGGAAGGACATAAAACATGTAGTTTTCCACTGATGTTTACACATCACACGGGGCTAAGCATTAGCACCACACAGCAGACGTGTTAACATCCATCACCCTGTTCATCACAGCGCACTGGCTGGGACTGAACGTGGTACTGGTGTCATACTTGCCTCCATCAGCTAGCCACAACACAAACAGACAGAGCACACAAAAAGATCAACACAACCCAAACACAAACAGCTATGTGGGATGTAGTGAGAGACGACCCAGTCCTCCGCTGGCAAATGACTGATGCTGGCAAGAGTACACTTTATTTTAGCAGATTGGAAGTGCTTTGCTCCTTCCAGTGTTAAAAAGCTTTTCACTTGCATTACATATTAATGCTGCGGGGACTGGGTTTGCTGTAATAGACGGTAAATGGTATTTATTAGTTCAGATACTAAGATGGGCTGATTTAAACATATGCCATAGCACCTTTAATGTTGGACAAATTGCCACAAATGTAGATGTACTGAAGCGTAAGAACACATTTCTGAAAACAAGCGAACCTATTTGGGGCGTTTGATTTCCATTGATGGTACTCACCCCGTTGTTCTGTGCAGCTCTGCCTGATCTGTACCTCTCATACCTGTGAGCAACAGAAAAAAACCTTTCAGTGTTTTACCACATGCTGTGAGGTTCAAATGCTTACACGTCTCTCATTTGCAAAAAAACAGATGAAAGCGAGATGCTAGCAGTCACAAACCACAGAACGCTAAAAAAGAACAAATTATGCCCAGTGCTTCACTTTCTGATGTAAAACCAGGTAAAACCAAATCACAGCTTTAGGTACAGTATTCACAATCCTGCTATGAAAGAAAAGAACAAAAAAATGGTGGATTTTTCAGTCATGTCACCATGACATCGTCGGTCCTCGTTGTGCAACACAAACATAATTGGTTGCTTAATTACAAGTACCTCTCATATCGAAGGAAAATGTTGTTGAGGTCATCGTTGACATGTAGAAGCTCCTCCGTCACCTCCTCGTTAGAGACACGTGAAATCAGCTCCACCACTCTCTGCTGCATCGCTCTGCATGTTCTGTTCAGCTCCTGGACCAATTAACACGTCAACAGACCAGTTAGATGAGAAAAGTGATGGAGAGTGGTGTCTACTTTCAGAAAATGTGCAACAAATACACTGAATATATTCTGTATTTCTGCAATGCATTCAGTGTTGAGAAAGTCAGGCACATTTGCTAGTGTTAATTCTGCAAAAGCCTTTTCCTGCAGTAGCTGAAAAAAGAAGGAAAAAGTCAGCAGAGGTACCACATAGCCATTGTATTACACCTGGCACAGGTTCCTGAGCACGAGGCCAGGGCCTTTTAGGCGACACAAATACCTGAGTGGATTTGGCCTTTGGAGATTAAACTCTGCATGAGTTTCTGTAACACTGGTTAATTGCCAGTTCCAGGAATTTTACCACCTTCAAGTGGCTCTTAATAAGTTCTGGGTGAGAAAACTAAACACATTGCGCCCCCTGGTGGCTGCACAGGATTACAACATTTTACAGCTGACGCCACTCTGAATGTGCGAAGGGATACACAGAATAAAGAAGACCGTTCTGCATGAGCCTGTGGTCATTTTGTTTTATTTTAATGCATAGAGTTAGCAAAGTATTCTTTCATCTTTTATGCAGAAATAACACAAAGCGACAACAAACCTTGATGTGTTTCATTCAAAGTGTCTTCTGATTTGTTTTTACTTTGATGCATTAAGAAACCACTTTCAGTTATAATTAAAACATTAAACTAAAGTCACGTCAGACAGTTTGTGACATTCAGCGAGTTAAAGAGGAGGTGATAATCCCACCTGAAGCAGCTCCAGGTCCGAGGCGTCTTCCTGGCTGGGAACCATCTCAGTGAGCATCTCTGACATGACTTTGATGTTTCCTCTCACTACGTCCAGCTCACTACGCAGCCGAGCAATCTGAAAGCACAGAGACCAGCTTGTTTATTATCAGCAGCACAGAACAGCGAGTCCGTTGTGATACAAAACGCTGTAATCTGCTTTAATCCACACAATGTAATTACAGACTCTGACTAAACGGATCTTACAAATGAGTGAAGTTGACTCCAGCTTTCTAGCAACAAGGTAATATCATTAGTCAGAGGTTGCTGTTGGTGCTCCTCACCTGTTCAGGGGTTGCAGTGATGGGGCTGGGCATGCTGGAGACCTGTGGTGTAGCCGGTGCAGCTGGGGCAGGTTTAGGCGTCCCAGCAGCAGCAGGTGAGGCGGGGGCGAGGTACTTGATCATGGCCGGATCCACCTCAGGTGTACCCTGAATGAGAAAGAAGGAACCGTATAGGACCCTGCTGTGTGCATGTATCTGTGTGTGTTTTCCTTCTACGTACTCTCTGTGGTGTGTGAATGGGAGACAAAGCATCCAAGTCTGCCATCGGGAACTCGATGCCTTTCCTCTTCAACTCCTCATAAATATGGACCACCCCGGTTAGATCGGGGCTGCTCCTGAAGGCATCGGCCCAGGCCTGTCACAACACACACAAAGACGTCCAACAAACATGAGAAAAGTTTTAACAGGCAACTGTTTTCATATGTACGTAAGAAAAAGTAGAAAATACATTTTTAAAATAAGACATCTTAATACAAGTTGTTAACGGTACATAGCAGTATAGAACAGACAGCATTTTGTTTTAATGAAAGAAAAGCTAAATTAATATTTAAACCTCTATCATGCTCCCATATTCGTATATAGTAAACTCCCTCTGATAGAGGAATCTCCATGGGGGCTCCTTCCTGCATTAAATATTTAAAGGACAGCAGAAAGACACACACAGAACACCACCTGTTGGCTGAGGTGGCTCCAGGTAACCAGAAGTCACTTGTACAACACCTGGTCTCTGAGGAGTTCACAGTGTCCACCTGAACTCCTCAGAGACCAGCACAGACCTGCACGACTCTGCTCACTGAGCTGTTTGGTTCCTTTCCACCGTTGCCGACCGCTTGCTCAGATCCAAAGGCATCTTTGGATTGTTGGGCTCTCTTTTTAAATGCATAAGGTCTGTACCTGACTATGTTAAGGCTGTGAGATGCCATATGTTGTAAACTGCACTATACAAATAAAACTGAATGGAAATTGAACAGAGCTGATCATGTTTCACTGCAGTGTAACTGTCCGTCTATGTTAAACCACACATTTCTTCAGGTCTCACACGTTTTCAGGCATTATGAAGCACTAAAGGAAAAACAACACGAGTGTGACGAGGACAGAAAAAAACTACAAACAGCTGTGATACCTGAATGAGAGACAGCACTTTATCCTGAACGATAGTCGGAGGATTAGTTTTGGGGGAGATGATTTTGACCAGAACACCATCAATGAAGTCTCTGTTGGCCACCTGGACGTGAAACCTGTGACCGCAGTTCTTCACACACGTCTCCAATACCTGCAGAAAGAAAGAAAGACGGAACATCAAACAGTGAAGTCTGGCAAATAAAAAAAATTAAAAAACAGCAGGGAGAAGTTTGCGTGTAAGAAGCAGCAGAGAAAAGGAAGACAGGATGCTTCTGCCAAACATAAAATACGCTTCTAACTAGCAATCAAAGATGTGGGTGGATGTGAACGCAGCTCTAAAAGCAGAGCTACTGTAAACAAAATGAAAGAGGAGCAATTTGAGGCAGATTAAAACAGCCCCCACGGTGGCTGACCAGGAACACAGGATCAGGAGAGGGCATGTTTACGTCGCCCGTACACCGAGGAGAGAGCAAAAGGTTCAAAGCCACACCGAGCTGCCGGGTGGACGTACTGGCGCTTTTAAAATTTAAAAAAATTCGGCTCAAAGGGTGAACTTCTTACCGTCAGCGCCAGCATCACTTCTCTGTAGTTCTTGTTGCCACTCAGCCTCTTCTTCAGCGCTCTCATGGCATCTTTTGGCCTGAAGAGAGAAACGGCACAGAAAGTTACAGCTGCAGAAGAAGCGCCCCTGCTGAGAGTGAGCATAGCATCACTGACTTTGTTGGAATAAACTCTTTTCTGTGCCACAATAACAGATGCGAGTCAGTCTGTCAGTGTAGCTGTTTGACTAAGACAGAGAAGCACTGTCACACCATCTGTCTCTCCCGTGTCTTTCTGCATGACTATGTCTCTCCCAAGGCAAAATAAAAGCTGTCCATGCATGAAGACAGTTCAGGCTGGTTCTCTGCCTAATACTCCCCATCCCCTCACCGCAGATGAGACATAATAAGATTTTATGAACTCCTTCATGAGCTACGGCACATTTACTGAGCGAGGGAGCTGAAACAGACAGAAATGGACTGACACGGAGGATAAAGTCTGATATATATGGTCCCTGGGCACCAGTGCGTTTGGTAAATAGAATGTCCTCAGCATGATTCTGTGCTGCAGTTGCCCGTTGTTGTTGGGTGATGCGTCTATTTTGTTATGTCGTGTTTCGGCGCCTGCCATCTGTTGTCACACTTGTAAAATTAGATAGCTGATTATGTGAAAGCACAAAGCAGCATGTGTTAAGACAACATCTCACAAACATTGATTTTCAGCTGCAGAATCTCCCGAATCTCCGACCAGACGCCGTCTATCTCGCCGAACATCTTGAAGACAATAAATTCTGTGTTCTGCGACGTTGAACTTCCTCTTTCTCTGCTGCAGTGTGTGTCGAGGGGTTCGCATGTGGAGACAATGGGTGTGTGTAGGCATGGAGAATGTGACTAACAGATTCCAGAAAACCATTTAAAATGTTCTTCTCAAAAAAGGCAGCTTGTTTTTTCCTTAAAGGTGATATCTGCTGGGACCCCTGAGTGTATTTATTTCAAGTCAGGTACACTAAGGTATCTGAAGTGCATTTGGAATAAACGGGGTTCTCCTCCTTTGGCACAGTATATCAGGTTCAGTTGTTTCTTCTAACAGCTCAACTGAATTTGACTACGCTGAGATAAATTACCATTAAACATGTCATATTTTAAAAGTTGCCAAAATTACATCCGTTATCAGAGACAGAAACTGTAAAAACAACCAAAAGAAAACAACCATCAGATTTTCAACTCTCCTGCCCATCTCTGACATGGGTTCTGTTGGGAAACAAACCTAAGCTTGAAATCTGGGTAATTCATCAAAATCACTTTATTCTACAGTCTTATTTCCAAAAATCCCCAAAACTAAATCATTTCCTCTAACCGGGTTTTGTAAAAAACTAAAAATCCTGCGCTCTTGAGCCGAACCGTGAAGACATGAGTGGTTCAGCTGTGACCAACAGTCCTGTGACAGAAACTCAGAGACGTTCAGCTGAACTGGGCCGGACTGCAAGCTGTGTTTACACCAAGCAGACAGAAGACAAGAATGGAGACTTACTAAACATGTCAGCAGTAATATATCTATGCTATGTAGAATCACCATTTTTCCAGTGTTGGTGACATCTGTGGCCACTTGACAAAATGTCATACATGCTGATTCCAAGTCTTTTATATTTATGTAAAATAAATAATATAAGGAATTTTACTTTCATAGCCCACAGTGAAGGAAAATGTGACAAGAGCAAAAGAAATGGCCAAGCAAAGCTAAGTTTTTGCATAACAATTTGCAGTGTATCCTCATCCACCTATGTATAAAAGAAAGAGTTTTCTTGTTTAAATAACTAGATTTACAATAGCAGCAGTGAAGAAATCTTGTGATTCCCACATTTGCAGAATCTTGTAGTCTTTTACACCACTGTAGGCTGGGCATGTTCCAATGTGGGAGGCTGATATAGGATTTTAATTCATTCTTTCTGTCAGTCAGTGAGTGAAACCTAAGGAAAACAAAGGGCTTTGTGTGGCGTGGTGTCTGTTGGCGCAGAACAGTAGTCAGTGTATTATTTGCTTGAGTCACTCCTTCAGCCAGTGTGCCATGAAACAATGAAAGTTCCATTACAGACCGCTGTGGGGCCACAAGTCACAAGTCCAGGAGGTGCAGCAGCTCACCCCTCGTCTGTTTCGTTGATGATGTCGCAGATCTCCATGTTGAGGGTCCAGTCTTCGTTCTGCAGGCCTCCATCTGTGGCCCTCTCTGGAGGAAAGAGCACAACCAGAGCCTTATTGTACTTCACTGTGGTGCTGTCTATACACAGATGAAACAAACCAACGCCCGAACGGTTTTATTTTGGCTTTAACGCTGGTTGTTCACGACCCAACTTACTCCCAGTTAATACCACATGAGGAGAAAAACACAACATCCCTGAGTGTTAGTGGCGAATGAGTGTTGGTCACCTGACGACACAAACGATACCGCGGCGGTCGCTTTAGTTAATTACAGCTGTGACATTTGATTCACAGTTTGCAATCTGCTTCCCAAGTCAGCATGATGCTGCATTTTATCTGGGCTCAGTCGACGCCTGCGCTTAAGTTGATGCACATTAATTAAAGCAACCCACATTTTACATAATACCGGGAGTGGAACTGTTGTGTAAGCAAATCAGCATGTGGTGGCAGACTTCAAAAGCTCGGCGTCTCTCCCGTGTCCTCTTCCACTCAGTTCAACAGTTTGTGGATAGAAGCGATATGAATGAAGTCGTGTTTTAGTTTAGCATTGACCAAAAAAATGCACTTTTACAAATTTCAGCAAATTCGGATTCAAAGTTTGCCAAATCCTGCTTGAACGTGGGATCCCTTTATTCTGATTGAGCTCCCAAAGCTGTGAAAACACTGTGTTCAGTCGAAAGTTTTTAGTCGTAAGTAGTTTTAATAGTAGGAGTACGTTTTTAGGTTCTTTAATGTCTTTTCCTGGATGCATGTTGTTCTTACAAGAAATAGTTTTTCTCAGATAAGGACAGAAACGTGACACAATATCAATGAAAATAGGCAAAATGATAAACTGACAAATTAAAAATATTATTGCAGCTACAGCGCAATAGGGGCTGTCAGTTTGTTAGTGCAATAAAAAGTAGGGTGAACAAGCTTTATGCTGCTTCATAGCTTCCTTTTTTGAGATGTGGACAGTCTGAGCAAACATGATCCATTTATAGCCTAACTGTAAACTAATCTCTGTCGGAAGGGTTGGGATGAGGTCTGGAGTCAGGAATCAGGAGACAGGTGAGACGACAACACTCCTTCATTCCGTTTTACTTTCACAACATTGCTGTTGTGCAAAAAAATGCTCGTGTGCTGTAAAACATCGCCCACCACCTGTTCCTCCGATGCCTCCAACTCCAGAAAATTAACTGAAAGAACCAAACAGTCAGCCGGAAAGTAGAAAGCCAACATCTCAGGGGAAAGTGACACTGGCTGTGGGTGTGATGCAGCTGTGTGCTCAGCCATGACTGTCATAACAGCCAAAAAACAGAAGCCACAGTGAGCTGTTCTCCCCTTCACACTCCACCCCACCATTTAATAGCATTTTGGCTACAGGCAGGAAATAATGTGATCCAGACTGTGAGCGGCTACAGTGATGAAGTGACGCTGCAGTCATCGCTGTTCCTTTCGCTCCGTCTCTTCCTTCCTCGCCGTCCCACAAATCCATCCATCACGTCCACGGATGCTGCTGTCTTTTAGGATCGTAGTCATTTGGGTGAGACTTACAGTGAGACAAGAAAAAGGCTTTTCTACCGAGGCAGGCTATGACTGAGTTCCTGTGACTGACACTCAATAGATTCTCATTAGACAATTCTTGAGCTTGAACAGGAGGAGCTTCTCTCCCTGAGGCTCAGAGGCCCTGAGTAGGCTGTCATGCCCAGGCCAAGGGCCTCTCGCTGGGCCATGATGCCTTCCTTTTGGGAAGCTCAGCATTAGACAAGCCTGACAGCCATGACTTATTCATGCTCTGACTCCCTTCTCTAATCAACTTGTCACAGACTGGGAAACCACCAAGAGATTGTTTGGGCATCTACAAACACACTTATCTAGAAAAATAAAGAGGCATGAAGTAAATTCCAACATGACTGGCATTTAAAAAAACACTGCTGTGTCTGGCTTCTGGGTTTCAGACTGTACAGCATATAGAGCATGAGTTTGGAAGAATTAACCTGCTCTGGGATATCCCATGTAATCTGCTCAAGTGGATTGTCATGTCGAGTCGGGGCAAAGCGCAAGTGTGTGGCAGAGGAGGAAAGAAAAGAAAGGGGGGAAAAAAACGGATCGGTCCATGTGCAACATGCTGGAACGGTTCTGAACAATCAGAGCCTTGCTAATGGAGTTAAATGCCCACTGAGTGCATTAATTCATGGTCCCCCCCCACCACCACTTCAGTCCTGGAAATCAACACCGCGTCAGTGAAGCCAGTCGATCACATGGCCTTAACAGTGGCAAGCTGTGCCATGCACTCGCCAACAAAGCCACAAAGTCCCTCTCTGGCCCATCGCTCTACCATGTGGACTTTTAAGACTCTTCCTCTCTCTGCTCTCCCACATTTCCTACTCATCCTCATCTTTTGCCTTAATTTTGTTTGCTAATTTTCTCCTTTTCTGCATGCACCAGGAATAGTACTAGTTGTTGTCTAAATATTGGATGAGGCTGCGACCTCTGATTATGAACCAGGCTCTACTGCATTAAACACACATCTATTTCCCTGGTCTGTCTGTCGTTCTTTGTGCCAGGTAAGTTGATCCTTTGGCCTTCTGCTGAGGCGTACCGACCACCACCACTGCAACAGACAGCTGGCTGTACAGCTCTGCACAGCGCAGCGACTCAACCGGAGAGATCTGGCCGAAGAAACAGCCGTCTCTGTGAAGCGGGGAAATCCAAGACGCTCACTGCACGACCTAGAAGGGCATCTGTGGAGTAAAATGCAAGCAACAATGATCTTGATGATTCTCCCAAGCTGTTTCAATCCAGTTGCATCAGCAAGCTTGACTACAGCACCGCATGGTTCCCACGTTTCTATGACTACAAAGTGAAAAAAGCAGGTAAAAACAGGCCAGAGACTTATTGTTATTTTTAGAAGAGCTTGCTAGTTTTCTCATCCAGTTCCATTAGTCCAGCATATACCCCGGACTCCCCATCACACACTTAAAATTGAAGAAGCCTCTTCGATGAGAGGTGAAACATCCAAGAATCAAAAAGAAAAAAGTCTGATTGCCGTCTACTGGTGAAGGGAAAACTCAAATGAATGCTGTGAGAAATGAGCCCACATCTGTTTTGCAGCAGTTTAACTAAACATTAATACAACAGGAAGTGCTGTGTGACATGTTTAGGATCGTTTACACAGCCTCATAAACACCAGGAACGCAATCAAAACTGTTTACAAATGAGGAAGGGAAATATTAGAGGCAGGTCACTGTGAGGACGGTGGTCTGACTGCAAACAGGAACAGAGCAGTGATGATGCTGCTGTAAAACAGTGTTGAGAGATATTCAATCCAAAGCAGGCGGTTCATCATCCCTGAGCACTGACAGATCTCACTTTGACATTGTTAGACTGAACAAACATTCATATCTGCAGGTAAGAAGCTGTTCTGTCATTGGTGCCATTCAGTGATCAACACACAGATAATCTTCCACTGCTCTGGATCTGATGTTTGTTTCAAGTAGCTTTTCAAGGCGAGATGCAAAGATAGCTGAAACCACACCAAAGGGATGTGGGAGGCCACATGACCTTCTTCTCCCCTCAATGAAGCATCAACACCACAGCACAGAAGACAGACATCTCAAAACAAGCCCAAGCAGTTTGGTCCACTGTGGTCCAGAAACTAAGGGACTATGGAAGTTAGCTGAGGCTCCGTAAGCCACTTTAAGCCACGACTCTGCTCGTGTCAGTCCTCATTTAAGTCCCTTGAAAACTGCCCTAGACTGTCTAAACAAGCGAACCGTGACTTAGCGTAAAGCACTTGTGATTATAGCGGACTAAGTTGGGTGGGTTAGCCGGCTAACAGTAGCTAAAGGCTCATTCCAAGCAGATGACGTTTGCTGCGATGATGCCTGCTAGCTAGCTATTTCCACCGGTTCAGCCTCCAGTAGGAAGCAGCAGACGCAAGTTTATTCTTTAGTTCCGTACTGTGGAGGAAGTAGAACACCTGCGATGAATAAAATCACGGCTAACGTACCTATACACTGGCCCACGGGAGTGCTGTACGGATTTCCCAGTAAGAACTCCATTTTGACAACAAACAATCCTTTCTGGAATGACAGAGGCTGCGGCCCAGAGGCGGTACCACCAAGCCCCGCCCACCCAGGAACTCTACTGGCTCAGATGATCTGGAGCTTCCATACGATTGGCTGGAATCAGTGTCAGTCATATTTAGCGCCCTGAGCTGGGTTCAACAAACACTTTTCCACGATAAACGTCTATTTTATTTGATAGGGAACAAGATACGTGAAGAATATACAAATATT